TTTTTTTAATTTTTTTTTTTTTTATTTTAAAATTTTTTTTTTTTTTTTTAAAACTCTTTTAAAATTATTTTTAAAAAATTAACCTTTAAATTTTTTTTTTTAAAAAAAAAAAAAAAAAAAAAAAAAAAAAAACCAGAGAAGAAAACGGTCTTCATATATTACCAAATGTATCTATATAAAAAAAGAAATAATTTTTATATTTCAATTTCGGAAGGAACGCGTGTAGCGAAATACATTTTTATGTTTGCCACTTCTTTCTTTCATTTTGTTCTTATTATTATGATGAGAACTAAAACATAAGCCTTTGAGCAATAACAACGCAAAAAGAAACGACAAAGTGTATTGTATCATTATTCAAAATAATCTTCTACCTGAAATAAAAAAATTATTTATTCACAAATACAACGATCCATACTGATGATTTTCATTTATTTATCCGTACAATAGAACGAAACAATTTTCATACAATAAAAAAAGAAAAACAGCCCACATGGATTCCATTTAATCTCTTTACAAATACAGAAAAATTTTCAATCTATTAGATACACGTACAATGGCAAAATTTGGTTCGTTTTTTCGACGTATTTTCTCATCGTTCAATAACAATAACAATAACAATAACAACGACGATAATAATAATGTTCAAATAATTCATAATATTAATGAGAAACCTGAATTGAAATGTGGTAGCACTACAATGACTGAAGCAAATTCTCGTCAAAGTTGTGATATTATTATTATATCATCGGCCGATAATCGTATTGGACAACAACGAGTTATTATAGATGATAATATTTCAAATAATTCAAATTATCTTTCTTCATCACCAAATCTCTATAAAAATTCATGTCGTCGGTTAAGTGCACCGATTATTATATCACCATCATCAAACGATATTGAAAATCAATTATTATCATCTCTTCATCGTTTATCATTATCGTCTTCTGCGGCAAATGCTGCTACTCTTGTATCAACTGTTAGTGGAAAAAATTCACCAACTACAGGTTCAATCACATTATCAAATAGCAATTTGTCATCAACAGAATTCAAATCTGGTAGGAGATATAATTATAGGCTAAGACGTAATTAAAGACTAAGTTGTTAAATTAGAATAGTATTCAGTTTCTGGAGAAAAAAAATAGTAGTTTTTATACTTGAGAATGGTTATAAGAAGTTATATGAATTATATAAGAAACTTTCTTAAAAATCTGATTTTAGACACAATAGTTGATAGATGAGAAATTCATTTCCGCTTCATTAACAAATTTATTCATTATTCAATAGCTATTATCTCGTTTTGACTCTACTTGAATGAAAAGATTTTGTGAACTCATATTCTTGTCATAAGAATTCTACAAAAATAAGATGTTTGGATACAACAAATATTAAGTATTTCCTATTTGTACTAGAATAACCAAGAAGTTTGACTTGAGAATTTTGATTATTAGCAATAGTCGAATTACAATCCATAATGAGTATCTTAAGTATAAGTTCTTGCTCATTTCATTAAAATTCATGTCATTGAGACGTTAAAAGTCAGTATGATGTTGACATTGAAACGTTTGTCATAAAAAGGCACGAGCACTAATAGAGATTTATTAATAGCCGTAACCGTTTTCGAAGATCATGTACTGTATCATTATGTTGAAGAGGTTTTTTGAGTAATTACACTGGTAAAACAGGAACTCTGTAAAAACAATATGACAGAGAAATTTTTAGCTCATTGGATGTTAAAAAAGTATTAGTGATGTTTGGATTCCATCGACTATAAATGACGTATAAGCAATGAAGAAAATGAGAAATTTTATCAACTATTTCTTAATCAGAACCTATTAAACTTTAGTTGTTAACAGAGGCTTTCGTAATACATCTTTTATAATTAAAAACACATAAACTTTAGTCTGTTAAATCTTGATGCTAAGGATGAAAAATGCTTTAAACAAAGATAAAATTGTACTTGAATAAGTTCATTCAGGAAAGAGAAGTCATTTTGGTAGCTTTGAATGAATACAGGATGGAATTTGTTTGTTTGCTACAATAATTTTTTTTTTCTTGATATACAAAAATTGCATTTAAAGTATAAATAAGAGATTAAAAGAATGGATTAATGAATAAAAGTTTCTGATTAAATTAAATCATATCTCATATGTTCATTTCAATTATAAATAAACCAGATGATAGATGATTATATTTATATTGAAAAAACTTTTTTGCTCTTAGTTTTTTTTTCTCTCATCATCTGAGTATTTTCTCTAAAGCAGAGAATTAGTTTAACTTGTCAATTTTCATTTTTATCAAAGATAAACATATTTTACTGCTGTACGTGTTCCATCATACGTTAAGTGCTGCTTTTTTGAATTTCTCTTAGAGAGAGAGAGAGAGAGAGAGAGATGTTCTGTCTCTTCGGTTTCGTTTACGTATTTCACAACTTACAGATATACCAGTGCTCTAAAAAAACAGATCATTGGGCGAGAGAGAGAAAAGAAAAAAATTGCTAATACGATTTGACTTCATCTCATCAGACTTGTTCATCTTACCCACAATATACATTATATCGAAAAATTGGGGAAAATGCTGAAGAATTTTGAGCGAAAGTGATTAGTGCCATCATTTTTCCTATGTACAAATTTTGAACAAAAATTAATTTTGCAACGAATTTATGCGATTATAAAGCGACTAGATTTTCAAAATGTTTGTGTTTTCATAATCCGCAGAATCTCAGCTGAAAAATGATGATACACAATTTGCTACTGCTCGAAACTTGAAATAAAGAGATTTCCAAATATTTAGGTTTTAGTATGAAATAATGGTTATGAAAATGCATAGAGCGATTTCAGTGCACAATGATATTCATTAAAGAATTGTTTTTTTGTGTAAAGTTTTTTTTATATAAAGGACAAGTGACAGTACTTTACTCAAACTTCTCCAATGTTTCCTTCCTTCCTCAATATGCCGTTAATGACAGTGAGATTAACAAGTTTACATACAGATGGACATATATGCGTTTTTTTGAAACACACTAGAAGTTTTCTCAACAACTCTTATTAATTTCAATGGATTGCGCATTTCTCACAACGTCACTTTAGTAAAAAGTAAAAAATCTTCGGACAATTTTGTATTTTCGCCCACACCTAATTAGACGAACAATATTGAATTTACAAGTTAACAGCCAAATAGAAGATCATGGTGTTCTATTGCCTGTAACTGTGTGATGATTAATTTGACAAATTAATGTTTTATCTTCACAAATTCTAAGAAAGAAAACAGAAAAAAGTAAATTTTGTCGCGTGTGTTTCACCTGTGGTCCCTTGAGTAATGTGAAGTACGTAAGTACACTCCTAAAAAACAAGTGCTTCGACAGCTAAAAAGGACACTTTGATGAACAATGAGTGGGACACTTCAAGCATAAAATTGTGTCCCGTCGAAAAAAGTACCACGCTGTAGGCTATTTTAAGCGCCCCAATCATCGCCTGATGGGTCCTTGCTTTTTCAGTGTACATACACACGTGTACTTGTATGGTAATAGGAAGAAGTAGTTAATGTACGCTTTGGGCATTTGCATGCAGAAAACTAAGAAATTCTTGTTCTCCATGATTTTCCGCATTTTTAACACACGAACCGAATCTTGATGCGAATGGAAATTTCCATGATAGAAATATGCAACATACACTGTAAAAAGTAAAGTGTGCCCGGGGCACACTGAATGTGCACATCATGTTGGACAGCTTTTGCACACTGAAAACGGCTTGTTCAGTGTGCCTGTAACACACTGGAATTACACATATAGCTTCCACAGGCAGAACGAGAAAAAAAGACCAAAGAGAAGAATAATTCTTCCGTTTTTTATCCATAGAGAAACGCAAGATAAAAATTCAGATTACACATTGACAATTTGCACATCACTTTGGACTCGAAATGCACACTTGGGAATACATACCAGCAGGCACACTTTATCTTTTACAGTGTACACTAAAATCCTCCCATTGTTTGTTTTGATTGAAGTCGATTGAGTCTGAAATGTGAACAAACCCAAGGAAATTTAAACAGTATAAACGGTTTTGTACATTAATTTCATGTGCCTTTATTGATGATAACTCTTCTGTCGAACCGACGCCTTAAAAGGCAGAGACCGTAAATCAAAAATGTTTACTGTGGATTTGTTTCGCCGCCACATCAGTAGTGGTTTGAAATTGCGTTAAAAAAGAGAAGTGTTGTGTTGCAAATAATATCTGGCACTTGTACTGTAAATGTATAAATGTTGAATATTAGTGTCTTTTCGATGTTTAAAATCATTGGTATGGTGCAGACAATTAAATGGTCCTCGTGCTTCTGCTAAGTTGACAGTTAGTCAACAACTGATCTTATGGTACCTGTCTTATTGAAATGGCACAAAAAAGAACTTCGAAAAATGTTGATTTTTCTAAAGTATGTTGCCAAGTGGATTATACAGAAGATAGCAACTATGTTGCCATCAGTTTCAGATACTTTTGATCAAAAATAATGGAGATGATGATTCAGATCAGAAAACGCACGATGCACAAAACGTGCCGTCAGATATTTTAAAAGACGATGATACTATTGCTGTATTGAAAAAATCGACTAAAGTAGAGCAGATCACAATTTTCTCATCTTGGAATAAATAAAATTTATCATCTTTTTTTGTAAAAGCATTGTTGTTTTTCCGAAAAAAAATGTTCAAGGATTTTTCTCCATGCGAAGAAGCAGCTTGATTCCACTGAAAAGTCAAATTTAATCTAAATACGGGTTGCTTTATAATTAAAAATTTTGTGTGCATCTATAATACTTTGTTTGGTTCAGGCTAAAAATCTCTCAGAGATTCTTACTATTTCAATCACTAAATATGGCAATAAGGAGGATATTTTCAACTATAAACTAATTTATTGCTAGAAGAAAATTATAGAAGAAATAGTGGAGTATATTTTTCAACCTCGCGAAAAAATTTCAAGTATGAGTGCAAGTAAGGTGCCGGCAATTCAAAAGGATAGTATGTCTTTTTGGGTGCGGTCGGATAGTACTTATCGAGTTATCTAGAAAAAACTCGATTTCAGGTTTTCGGAAGACAGTTTTTGGCGAAAAAATTTTGACATATTGATGTTTTGAAAATGGTAAAAAATGAGGAAATTTTTGAACGATAAACTTTTATGTGTGGTCATCTTTTCAAATTCCCAAACCATTTTTTCTTATTTTTCATTGAAAATTGAGTCCAGAAAGCTAATTTTGGAAATTTTAGACACTAAAATGGACTCAGAATCTGCGAAACACGAATAGAATGATAAAGGGGCTGACTCTCATTCAATTTTGAAAATCTATCTAGTCCTAGAATTTAAGAGCTAGAATTCTTTCTTTTACTTCATTCTGCTCGCCATACTTGTGAGAAAAGTTAAGTATCTTTTTTGAAAAATTTTGTTTCGTTGTGAGAAATTCAATTTTTTCTAAATTAGTGAACAATGAAATTGGACTCGTATTTTGCCGTTTCTTTATCAAAATTCAACTTTTTGATAAAAATAATGTCATTTTCGGAATCTGCGTTAAAAACTGAGTTGAAACAGGTATGTTTCAGAATTTTTAGACTAGTCTAAATTTTTAGGGGCGTGCTTACTGGAGGGTTGCGGGATGGTCATCCTCCTGCTTTCGGAAAAGTTTCTGTTTTGTGTCTTTCGCTCTTCAAAAAAATATCTTTTTTGGAAGAACGAAAAAATTTTTTTCGGCGGGATCACCGTCCTACTCTGAGATGCTAGATACGCCTCGGCAGATTTTTCCGTTTTTCTCGATTTTCTCAAAAACAGAAAACTCATAGTTTTCACCCGAAATCCAAAATTATCTAAAAATTTCGAAACACTGTTTCAACTTAATTTTTAACACTGATTCCGAAAACTTGAAATCGATTTTTTTCTAGATAATTAGATAAGTACTATCCAATCACATTAAAAAAAACGAAAAATAAAATATGCTCTCTTTTTGAATTGCCGGTACCTTACTGGAAATAGTGCTCAACTTGATCTCGTACTCGCTCATCTCTGATAGCATTTTTTCAAAATAGAGCAGAAACAAGATCTAAGTAGATCGGTTCCTGCATCTCTGTAATACTACAGTGTCTTTGTAGAAGGTACTAAAATAGATAAGTTCGGATTTCGAGTAGTTTACGAACGAACTAGCTAGTATTCTACACAAACAAATGTAATTAATGAAGAACAATATTTTTTAAAAATTAGCAGAACTAAACAAACGGAATGTTATGCAAAACTGAACTAAAGTACAAACGTTGAAGAAATAAGCTGAAAGGATATTAGCGAGTTAATAAAATGTTCTGTGTCTCTGTACTGAAATGTTTTTATAATAATGTTCTTTAACATATGTAATACACTTAATCATGACTCACATACCGTAACGCAGATCGTCTATCGAGAATCGCTTAATTATCGTTAGTGCGCCTATAACTCAGGTCATAAATAGAATAATAATTATGCTAGAAAAAAGCAATATTTACAATATACCTCTCGAACTATCGCTCGGATAGAATTTCGTCTGCAGAAAGGGAACATCTACATACTATAACAAACATAAAGTTCCATGGAATTATATTGATCAGACGAAGCGTTGATAGAGAAGTGTCTGTGACAAAGTTTGTATTTTATGTATTTTTAAATTGTCGATTTTACTAAAATCTTAATCTGGCCTCGAGCTATAGCTAATGCGAGACAGGGTAAAAAAGAGAAACAATGAACGAATATCATTCTTCAACCCAATCGCGATAAAAATGAAACATCCTTAACATTATGAATTTTCAACACGCATTAGACGATTACGGAGGATATTTAAACTAGCTTAGAAAAAAACAAGCATAAAAAAAAGGATGTTTCAAGACAAGTTCATTTAGTCTCGTGTCTCTTTTCCATCAGACATGATCACATCATGATAAACGACTGTTAGTCTTTGTTAATCAACTTGATATTTTAACATGTACTTGCGGATCCCTTGAAACTTTCATAAAAATGTAACAACACGTGTAACATGAACTTCATGTAATGAAACTCAAAGTAATGATGCTGTTTAACGTAATAATCATCATTTTTTAGTTCAAAAGTGAAAACTATAAGTGTTTTAGCTTAGATAGATATACTATTTAGGATATATATTTTGGATATTTTAGGTATGCTGGACTTTCATTAAAATATTTTCAAGATTTGTGATTTTCATTTTAAAATTGTGGAATTTCAGTAAAACTTTTTTAATGAAAGTCCATACTCTTCCAGATTTTAATGAGAAACACATTTCAGAAAAGACCTTTTAATGAAAGTCAGATATTCTATAATTGTTTCATTGTAAACTAAAATCATTCTTCTTTTATGAACATAAAGAACATAATCGATGAAAATGTTTATACTCAATGTGTTCATAGTCATCATTTAGTTTATGTATGACATACATGACACAAACATGGTTGCATGACAATACATCATTAAATATCCGTTGATAAAGAAAGTAGACAAGTAACTTCTTTCAGTTATAAAATGTTTGTTATAATATCAATAGTAGTATTTAGTTCAGACTATAAATGCTTTTTTTTTTTGAAGATAAATTTAGAAAGAAATCTAATATAAGATTCGATTTTTCTAGTTATTGGATGCAAAGAAATTTTTTTCTCCTCATATATTTCGCGTAATGAGTATGGACTGTTTTCAGTTATGTAAACATATCACAAAAAGTCGTTCATTAAAAATTCTCCCGAGTTACAATTATTCTTTTTTACGTTTTATCAATAATAACGAATTTAGTCAAAAGGGGAAAAAGAATATGAATAGTAAGTATTAATAGCTATGTAGGTTTTCTATACCTTTTTCCTTTTCCTGTATTTTCTCTCTCTTTCTGTCTTCCTCTCCCTCTCTCATATACACAAATATTTTTAAACTAGCGCTATCTCCATTATAATCGGATATATTAATTATTTAAACTAATTTAGAAATGCATTTTTTCCCTCTTATTCTCTCTTTTCATTCAAAAACTTGATGTTGTTATCACAGACTGTAAACCCACTTATTTTTGGGAACCATTATTGATTATGCGCCGTGAAGAAAAAAAAGATTGTTCCGATGGCACTCTAACTTTCTGTGTAAAAATCGAAAAAAAAAAATGACAGAGAGAGGGAGAGAAAAATCACTAACTAGAAAAAAATGGAAAAATAAAATCTAAAAACTGAGAAAAACTCATCAAAAAAAAAAAAAGAGCAGTAATAATATATAGTGTGTGCCGAGTTCGGTTCAGTGATCAACAGTAAGTTGTTGTTGTTATGTAGAGGACTCATTATGAAGTTGTCGACACTAATCGAATTGAGACAAATCAATATCTCTCTCTTACTTTCTTATTCTATCTGTAAAATAAAGCATACTGTTATACTTCTTGAACAGATGTTCTCCGATTTTTTTCTGCTTTTGTGTACAGTTTCAACAGTTTGTCTTATTTTTTTTTTCTAATTCTTGAACGAAATTTGCGAATAATTGAGTTTAACTTTATTATTATTTATTTATTCAGGAACACCTCCTGTGGTGCCTTCACCTCGTTTGAGTAATCAATCGAATTATTCTTCTTCGTCCAATGCTATGAAAGATATTTACTCCGGTGATAATAATAATCAAATTGACAATTCTAGAAAAATGTCTATGCCAAATAGAGGACGAAGACCTTCAATGTTTGATCCTATCGATCCAACAGAATTACAAGCAGCTTTATATGCTACGGCTATCGCAGTATGTACATATTTTAAATTTATATGATTTTTAAAAAATTAGTAGATTAATTCTTTGTTGACAACCTCCTCGGATTCAAACTTTTGTTGAATATAATATGAATTTTTTTTTCTTAATGTTATTTAGAAATCAAATTCTCCAACTTGTCAAAGTAGTGATGAAGATCAGAATCATGCTCATATTCAATGTTCAATATCGTATGATCGAGATAATGGTCGAATTCAAATTGATAATATTTCTTTTGATAATATTTTTTCTCTTGAATCATTATCACAACAAGGTCCTCAATATACACCATGTGATCCAGTAATACCTAATTTATCATTTTATTGTCGTTTTCGTTTACATCCTGAACGACGTTCATTATTTCAAACAAAAATTATTCGTCTCAATCGAACATCACAATCACATTTATTCGATGATGAATTGATATTTGAAATAAAACCAGAATTATTACTGAATCATTCAATTGAAATATTGATGTATACTATAGGTAAAAAAAATTTCAAAGATGTTCGAGTGGGAATAGCACGTATTAATCTACAAGAATTATACGAATGTGATCGTGTTCGAGTTAGAAAAGTATTGAATGAAATTGAAAATAATACAAATCAGGTTAGTAGATCACATTTTTAAATTATTCTTTAAAAGTTTAAGTCTATTTTTTTTGTCTAGGATCCAGATCTAGGAGAATTATTGATATCAATGTCATATTTGCCAAGTGCTGGAAAACTAGCTGTAGTCATTGTAGAAGCAAAAAATTTGCGTCCTTTGTCAATTGAAAGTAAATTATTGCCAGGTTAGAACAAATAATATTTTTAATCTTAATTATTTGTAACTTTCTTTAGAATATTTCATGTTAATATTTTATTTTTTAGATTCGTGTGTTAAAGTTACATTACTTCGAGATGGACGAAAAATAAAACGGAAAAAAACGAGTGTACAGCGTTCAAATGACAATCCAACTTTCAATGAAGAATTAGTATTTGAATTACGTAAAGAAGTTGCTGCTGAAACAATGATTGAAATTCGAGTCGTTCATGAATCATTATCGTGGAAAGAAAATTTAGGATGTGTTCTATTTAGTTCACCATCTTCAACGACAAAAACCGAAGAAAGTTCGTATTGGAAAACTGTGCTTGACGGTCAATCATTGAAGGCCGAATGGAAAATGTTAAAACCTGTGGTAAACACATAGCTACTTTTATAAAAAAAATTAAAAAGAAAAACAGAATTTTTTTAATTTAATTTATTTTTGTTTCTTTGATGTTGTTTAAGAATACCGAGACGTCATATTTGTATTTTTATCATAATTAAAATTTTAACATTTCATCATTCTCTTTTTATTCTAGTTATACCAGAATCAGTTCATCATTTCCACTATGCGAGGTACTTAGTCTTCATCAAGAAACACGGAATCCTTTGTACATTGTCAGTATTTTAAAACACTTGTTATTCCTATGCATTCTTTTATTATGACAAAGAATAAACAAATACAAAACATAAACTAACTACTATCTATTTCAAAATAGAATGGTCATAGGTATTTTTGAATAAAAATTAAAAGTAAAAGATAGAGACGTGTGATTTACAGTTTCTGAAAGTAGACACCTGAAGACATCGAACTAACTGAAAAAATCAATCTGAAACTACTAACTTTCAGATAGTGTACAATGGAGAAATATTGTCTCACTTCCTCAGATGTGAAAGAAAAGCCTCGATAAAGCAAAAGTATTTTCAATTGTTTTTAAAAGAAGTATTGAGTTTCATGGTGTATAATGCACGCGTTGCAGTATATCTTGGAAGTTTTAAAGTAATTTTAATCGATTTTGAGTTCTGAATTTTTTAAATTTTCTCTTAAAACGCGAAAATTTCACCTAGTATAGGTTTTTATTAAATTTTTGAATTTTTCATCTATTCTAAAGGTCTTCGACCTAAATAATCGGTTGTCTCCATAAGGTATACCATCTAAAGTTAGTAGTGTCAGATTGATTCTCTGATAGATCGATGCCCTCAGATGCCTACTTTAAGGAACGGCAAACCACACATCTCTCTGTTACCTTCAGTTTTTATTCAAAAACATCTATGACCACCATTCATTCTATTTTGAAAAAGATTGTCGATAAAAAAATGACTTGCTATGATGAAAGTCATATTACTGGAAACAATTTTGATCTTCAAGTGTATATAGAGCACTTTGTAATTTGCACGTGGACACTACAACAGAAAAACATTAAATAAATAAGTTGTGTAATAAAAAAATAACTTACCGAGATCGTCGTACTTATTTTCGATTTTTATTCATGTGGTTCACCTTGTGTCAACGAGTGCTCTCGCTAAGAACTGTATTTTCAAAAATGGGGCATCAATTATACTTCATACATAAAAATCGACTTTTTTGTTCGACGAAAACTCTATGAAGTCACATTTATTTGAGTAGACGATTCAGTTTGTTTTGATGCAAATGAAACCGTTTTAATCTCTCTCAAAATAAGTGGCCTCTAGTTTGACAAACAGGACTCTTAGCACTTTGGTAAGAAGTGATAGCAGAGTTTCGTTTTTGTTTGTCACACATAAAAGCCGAGTGTAACTCAAACTTAAAAGTTCAAGTAAATACGATGAACGATATTGATATCTACATTTAGAAAGATAGCACAGAGGAGAGCACCCGCTTCCAGTCGGTTCCCATGAATAGGAATCATCTAGTTGCGTGTTTAAAAAATGAAATGAAGTAGGTGCCTTTTATAGATGCACACGATTATTGCACAACCGGGGTGAAAATCGAAAAACATTTTTTCTTTTTTCCATTTCTATGTGTTGCGTAAACGAAGACAAAGATAAAATACAATACAAAATACACATTTCATAGCAAAAGAGAAATAAAATAAAGCTTCGACCGTAGTTACACGAAAGGAATGAAAAAAAATAATGCGACATCATTATTACATACAGACAACGTCTTTAACCTTAGGCATTCCGCGAAAGAAATTTTATAGCTATGTTGCATATGCTTTTTCGTTCTATCGATTTAACGAAAAAAAAGGACTTGAGGAACACATGTTATGAAAACAACAGAACACAAAGAGAGAGATATAATTGTTTTTACATATGCAGCCTTTGGACGCTCAAGAGGAAAAATAACGACATTCAACAGGTTAGCAACAAAAGACAACGATAGATGTTATTGTTTGAATAGAAGCGAAATAAGGTCTATTTTCAACAACTTCTAAAACTTGAACTGTCGAAGAGCACCAGATTTTAATTTCATACAAATCGAGACTCGTATATACATGAACCTAGCATCGAAATTGACAATAATAATTTTCTTATAATATGACAAAATAACGCATATTTTTGAGTGTCTTTCCGTTTAAAAGAATATAGCAAAAAAATGTTGTTTGACTTTGAATTCTTGAGAATAAAATTGTTTTTAATTGTTGCTCCTTAATATTATCCAAATCTTTAACGACCCAAATTTTGTTTTTCATTTCTATGTCTATGCTTTATTGGCCGTGGCATTACGGAAGTGCGAAAATCTTTTATTTTCTATGTTTTGTACATGTGCATAGTGTTTACGGTTTACGAACGACATAATTTGTGCATTTATCACGACAGAACAAAACAAATAAATAAACAAACAAATATGGTCACATTATATCTATATCAATCATGAAACAAGTTTTTAATATCATTCTCCTCATCTTTTTCTCGTATTCTTCGTGTACATATATTGATTTAACGCATACACTGTCTAGCAAAAGTCCTTATTTTCCAACGCAAACACGTTTTAATTTTACTAATAAAACAGAAGGTTGGACAGAAAATAATTATTTTTATTCATCAAATAGCTATCAGACATCAGAACATATTGGCACTCATCTCGATGCACCATATCATTTCTCTAATGTATCATGGACAGTTGATCAAATACCAATCGATCGTCTTATCTCAGTCGATAGTTTAATTATTGATGTTTCAAAACAATGCCAACAAAATAAAAATTATGAAATAACAATAAATGATATTAAACAATATGAACCAATCAAGCTAAGGAGAAAAAATATATATTTTATTATCTTATTTTATACAGGATGGACAGCATATTGGACAGATCAATTAGCTTACGCTGGTGTCAACTCTAAAGAAGACAGTTTAAGTGGATTAGAATTTCCAGGTTTGAGTCGTGAAGCAGCTGAGTATTTGGTAAAGACATACGCTCAAAAACTAGTTGGAATTGGAATCGATACATTATCAATTGATTCTGGACAATCAAAAGAGTTTTATGTTCATCAAATAATATTGAAACATAATATATACGCATTAGAAAATGTGGCTGCATTAGATATTGTTTTGAAACAATTATATAAGTCAAAATCGGATCTTATTTTATATGTGTTTCCGATGAAGATCGAAAAGGGATCTGGTGCCCAATGTCGAATCATAGCTGATGTACACGAAAACGGCTTTGATCGGTTTGATGTTCTCATTTTATTGGGGACCATACTCGTTGTACTTTTTTGTGGAAAAATATGGTGGGATTGGACTTCATACGAGAGAAACTTCAAATAATAGTGAAATAGAACATTTTGATTTAAATAGAGTAGAACATATGATGATAAATAACACTTTATATATTTCAGTCATTTTATGTTCTTTGATAATTTTAGTTTTCTACATTTTCTTATTCAAGAAAATTTCACTAGATTTCTGTATTAAGCCAAACTTAGACCCACCAATTAATCGTTACATACTATTTCACCGAAACGGTTATATCTGGTTCAGTACAATTAATCTGCTATGAATGATTCGATGAACAAATGCCACTTTATATTCAACTCTGCATTGTATAAAAAAACTTCTTTACGCAATACGGATTTTGACTAAAAGCTTTTGAACGAAGTATTAGTTCACTAAGCTCTTTGGAAGCTACTAGATAATTTTAGTTTTATTTATTATAGCGTTTGTAATCATATCTTTAATAGAAATTTGTTGAAGTTTAGCAGTAATATTTGTTCCCATCTATCTTAGAATAATTGCCTTCTGTTCTGTTTTCTATGTACAGATTTAGAAAAAATAAGATGGTTCAACTCCGTATTAGTTATAGATTATCGATCTGAAGCATTTTTTATACGTGATTTAATTTATTAATACAAATGTGATTTTCATGTCTGATATCAACATAGAATCTTTCTAATCGCGACCATTTTATTCTTCTCATGAAATGTATCATATTACATACGTTGTTATAGCTAAGTCTATGTCGAATATTAAACGGAAAACTGAATTTATATTATAATTATAACTCTTCTTATTTAGCATTCTTTTCCCTTCTTTCTTTAATAATATTTTTCGAAAAAAACAAACAAGAAAAACTGAAGGAAATGAAGAAAAAAAAGACAAATACCAAAGATACAATTCCGATGAGAAGAAAAAGAACAGATAACAAACGAAAAAAAGAATCAGCGCATAGATTTTATATTTTTAAATTCTTTATGTAAACTTGTTCGTATATGAAAAAAAAAAGAAAATACAGCATATAGAAGAGTATACATTATAGATATTTTTGAGACTTGAAAAAGAAACACAAATAAAATATAAAAGAAATGTATAAAAACTTGTTTTTATCCTCTTTGTTTCTGTTTTTATTTTTGCGTTTGAATAGTTTCGAACTTGTGTGGACAAACACAACTTATGTATCTATGTATGTATTAATAACTTCTTTTGCATGTATGTACAAAACGAAAAGAAGCACCACACAGTATACGAAAAGACAAAAAAATTAGAAAAAAGGTCGAGTAATTCTGTAAATAACAGATTACCAACCTCTGATTCTCCACATAATAAATTTAGATATGAATTAAGCAACATAACTATACATTTTCCTAAAATAAAGACAAAAAATAGTAATATAATTTAATGAAATAGTTAGATGTTGAATAATGTACCTATCATCCATTGAACGCGACAAATAATCTCTCTCAATTAAACTTTCAATTCGTTTCTTAATAAATAGCGGACTGGGCATGAAACGTGTTTTTAATTGATGTGTTACCTAAAAAGGATTAATATATTTACGTATTAATAGAAAAACAACAAAAAAATAGCATACTTCAGAGACTAATTGGATATGTGGCATGAATTTTCGTGTTTTCATTATTCGAACTATGGCTGCATCAATTTCATGTTTCCGATCATCATCCACTCTATTACGTGTTTCCAAACGTTCTGGATCTGACTCGGTTTTGGGTGTAATAGGATTAATTTTAACACGATATAACTTTGATGTAAACGAATCATTTATAGAAAATGTATCTGTTGATGCCATTTCTTTTGTTTTTGGTTCTTTTAAAAAAATACGTTGTGCTGGTTTTCCTAGAGCCAATGGTAATAATGAACGTTGTAAATCTTTTTCATTTATATCGGTTTCATGTTGAATTTCCTAACAAGAAAAAAAAGTAGAAAAGATATTAAGAAATAACATTTCTTTTATGATTAAAACCTACTTCAAATGTCCACGTTTCTTTAGTATTAAATAACATTAATATGACCATTTGATAGGTTGATACTTGTAACGTATGTTTTCGTTCTTTAACAGCAGTAGTTGTTGGACGTAATTCTCCATCTCCATCATCATCTTTTGGTTTACCATAAAAAACAGCTGTTAAATCAGCTGAACCTAAACTTGGTTGTAATGTAAGCTGTCTTCCACTGTGTTTATTTAAATAAAATCTATAAATAAAAACAGATGAGTAAACATAGAACATAAGAAATCGTTTTATTATACCGATGAAAACATTGATATGCTTCACGAACATTCAGTGGTAAATTACATTGATTATTTGTCGATTGTGTTGGCCAAAATCCCGTGGTGAGGACGCGTACAGATAAATCGATGGCATGTAAATTAAGCTAGAAGAGAATAACTTTCGATATTTTAAAATTTCTATAATAAACAATCAAAAAACTTACCCGTTTTTGTTGTACATGTAAACGAAAATCATCGGCCGTTGTATTTGATATTGATATATCTTTAAACATTCCTTCTAGTTTACATGTAAACTGACATCCACATTCTGTTTTCAAACGTGATATCATATTTTTTTCGGCATCATCCGATGCACTCTTATTCAATAATAAACGTTTGGCTAAATGTTGTTTATAATAACGTTCAAACACATCTTTTTCTTCTAAATATCGAAATAACATCATGGCTTTATCTAGTACAACTTCAACTTCTTGATCACCAAGCTAATAAAATAGAAAAAACATTCGCACATTATATTTTTGTTATAAGATACAACAACTATTCTACATACATCTTTGCCGCCTTTTTTCAATCTGTCATCAATAAATAATGATAAATATTCTGGACTACGTTGATTTAAATTTATAAAATGTTCAAAATCACTATTAATACGTTTTTTAAACATTCGATCTTCGTTAAACGCATTTTTAAGAAAATGATCAAAATTATCTTTTAAATCTAACAAACTCTAGAAATATACATACATATACGAGACAGATATCAATCATTTTTTTAACAAGAGAAATTACTCACTTGTACATAGGTAATAGCACTTTTACCCTCATCACCATTCTCAGTTACTAATGCTTTTCCTTGTTCACGTAAAAAATTGCTCATACAATCAGCTACTGTCTGATGACCATTTGGTACACGTTCAAATAATTTATACATTGTTGCTAAATCTTCATATTTATTATGTTTCAACATATGATAAACACCAGAATTTTCCATATCCACAATGGTCTTGATATGTTTTGTAATGAGTTCATCTTTAATTTTAAAAACAAAGTACTAATGTGATCACATCAGTAGAATGACAATTATATTATGTCTATACCTTCTAACACTCGAATAATTCGTTCTTCTGTTGATTTATCTAAATAATGTACAGCCCTTTCGGCTTCTTCACTAATTCTTGCTGCAACTTTTCGAATATATACAGATGCACTATTTTCAGCAAGTAGTTTTTGACTCTCCAACTACACATAAAAAATCCATGGATATAAAATGAAGTTTTACATCTCTAGAAATGGTTTAAAATATCTTACTCGATAAAATTCAGCTGACTGTAGTAAAAATGGCGTTTCAAAATCTTCGGCATATACACAACGGCTATCAATGCCAAGACTCATTAACATTTGACAAGCATTTTTCACTGCACTCCTAAAAAATTACAAATAAAAACGTTTTTTTGTACAGAAAAACACCGAAATAATGAGTAAAAAAAGTAAAAAGTTTTGTAAACATATTAAAATAACTCTGTGAACTAATCTTGTTCTGTAAAAAAAAAGGAGCGTGTTCAATCGATACAAATCTTAAGGATATCTTTTTCTGAAGCAAAAAAGAAAAATTTCTAAAATAAAAGACAAAATGTCATGAGAGTCTCATTCTTTTTCATCCTCCGACTGAACAAACATTTTTTCTTCGAGACATCTGCTCTCTCACTTTTCCAGGAAACTGTACTAAATGCGATGTTAGTACTAACACAGATGTAGTCAATTCTAAAATAGTGAATCTATTGTGTTGATTTTTTATAACGTCAGGACCAAATATTTCCTTAACATTGTGATTTTGGCTAGGATCATAATTTGTATCACCCTTCATTACGCTTTATGTATTCCATATAACTTGGGACTGAAACAGATGCTGAAGATTATTAGCTGTTTATCTGTTTGTCAAACCTTCTTTCATTAACTTTCCTTTTTTAAAAAATATTTGTCTCTATAATACAAAATGATACCTAACAACTATTTTAATCAACTATTTAAAGCTATTAGAATACTAAGTTTGATTACAGCTGTGTTCAGTTATTTAAGATGAGGTGTCTGATTCAAGTGTGACTTATTGCTGTGTATGCAGGAATATTTTCATAGACGTAGATCATTTTACAAGCTTAGAAAGACACACTCAAAAGTCGGTTTGTTCCATTTCTACACTAGAATATAATTTACGTATTAACTGTAACTTCTACTGTGACATAGTCATAATCTTGCAGCTTTTTTATCATTTCTTTCAAGCACTTTTGTATTCTTTATGTAATTCTAACAAAAAGTTCTTCCAGGCACTTACTTTTCTACCACTTCTCCACGACGTTCTTTGGCCACCATTTCTAACAACGCTTGTTTTAAATGATCTCGTATTGGTGGATATCTAGCAACATTATCTCGAAATATAACTAATCCTAGATTATATACTGGCTCTAATTTTTGCCCACTAACGTAAACACGATCCATATACATCAATATATCACGAATCATAACCATAGCTAGAAAAAAGAGATGTATCTTCCTGTAAATTGATATATAACTTCTGCACACCTGTCCGATGATCATTGAACACTGAATTTAATGTTGTAAGAAAATTGTTATGCAATGAATCAACCACATCTTGTCTTACCTAGAAGATAAAAAAAATGAGTATAAAAAAACAATACTATGTATTTATTCATCATTTATAAATTGAAGAACAGCACATACTTTTTGAACAAGATGCTCAGTGACAACTTCTCTTGTTCCCGTATATAATTTCTCTCCATGTTTGTGTAGCACCATTGTATAAGCGTTACGATATAATTCTTCAAAGCTCAAACCACTATTGTTTTTCTTTTGTATTTCTTGAATAGCTGTTTTCAATGACTGATTCCATATGCCATTGACATAACGATCATCCATAGTATTCTAAAACAAAATAAAAATAATACATTTCTTGACAGGACTGACTTTCACCTTCTAATATGGCAAGCTCATATAGTGACAAAGCATGAATTAAAAAAGTAATTATTATGCCATTCTTTTTTCAGTAAAAAAAGCGAAAAGTTTTGATACAACGGATTACAATACTTACAAAGAACTGTCTAATCCTCATTCTTTTGCTTTTATCGTCCACTTTTGACGTTTTGCTCATAGTCTGATGTATAGTTGTAGTGCTAAAAAGAAAGAAAAATTGAATCAAAAAGAACTGTCGTTCATTAAATTGACCTTATCCTCGAACACGGAAAAGTCATTCTAGATAGTTTTCTTATTAAATCAAAGAAAATAGAAGTAAATTTACGATTTCAATAGGCACAACTTGTTATTACAATAAGTAAATCAAATCGTTAATTCCATATGCGCGTTTAAGTTCTTATTTAAACAACAATCTACATATCTTGTCAACAAACAAATATGGCGTCCAACTAAGCAGATCTCAAACACTCAGCAATACCTTTAAAGTACTTCAATTCTATTATAGTTTGTTGCCATCTAACTTTATCACGTTGTCAACTATTGAATAAAGCTTACACTCGCTTTTTCACCGATCGTCCTTTTCTATCAAACGGCCATGCTTTTTGACTAGTACGAATTATATCGCGCAATGAACGAACCATGAAATTAATAAGCTTTTAGATTAATAAATATACGGATAAGAACATACGTTGGTCACAACAAACAAAATTAAACTCAAAACATCGAATAATTGGCCTCGTACATCAATTTCTCCTTACAACAGAGAGAAAATCCTCTTGTATTTCTGCCTACCTCATTATAAGAGTAACATCAAGAAAAAATTTTCTTTACCATAGAAACGATCTCAAAATAAATTATTGATCATAAAAATTTCGCTAAGAAATGAATTGAAATTAATAAGATTTCGTGAATTATTGTTTTTAAGAACAACAATATTTAGAAGTTTTTAAAGAGTTGATCGAAAATGAGAAAATTTAATTATCAATATGGTTCTCTACGGTCCAACTTCATATTAAAATTCAAAATCTTTGAGGAGCGGAAACAAATAATTAATTTCACAAGTTGGTTTTAGAATACAATCTTTTTGTTTATTAAACGACTGGGTACGCTAAGAACACCATTAAAAATACAATACCCTTGAACGTTTACTACACTCTCTTTTCTAATGAGACCGAAGCGCACGGGCAGGCTTCTTCATAGGGAAGCTTTAAATTAGTATTATTCTAAAGTAATATTCTTTGTAAAAACGGATCGGATTAAGCTCCATTAGCTCTAAGAAAAATTACAGAGAACTTCTTCCATGAAGATATAACAGCTTAAATAAAACTTAATTACAAATGTCTTAAAGGGAATATATGTTCTGTTTATCAAATATACATACTGAACTGGTCACACACGGAGTACGATGCAACAATTCAGCTGCACAGTCTCTAAAATCAACATAAAATACAAACAAAATATGAAAATCATAAACCGTTGTTTAACTCTTTGAATACATACCAGCTCAGGCAATAATAAAAAATGTGTGTGATAGACTACTTTTTGGTTTTATTTATGCAAATTATACATTAAGTAAAAAGAGAATCGCTAATATATTCAAACTGGGATAATTTACATCTGAAATATAACACAATATTAATTGTTATTATTTCCCACCTATACGGTAGTTGACTTAGACTGATAAGATATGTGGTTGAAATAAAGCATTAAACGTATTAGCTGCTGCTGTTTTTTCGATAAATGAAGAAGTTCCTGAATAATACTGTTTGCTGTGGGAATTACATTATTGCAACTATCATAACCAGCATCTTGCCAGTAAGTTCGCTCAGCTTTAAGATAAAGATTAATAAGCGGAAAACACGCGATCTAATTAGCTAATTATTCCCTAAAAATCGCATTCTAAGGTTGAGCGTCATAATTTTTTATTAATTATTTAGTTTTTAATTATTTATTTCACAATCTTCATTTAACAACATCATCATCGCAGCAGAGGAGCATTTCTACCACTCAAAGGAGTACGTTGAGCAGTGTGTTTCAGCTGATTCAGTTTTCTACTCAAATAAACATAAATCACTGGGAAATGTGCACAAATTGGCGATTTTCAGGAAACATAGGAAAAAAATCGCAAAACAATGAATATTTCGTTAGTGCATAAATAGTTTGGAAAAGCACAAATGGTGCACTTTCATTTGCCTATTTCTCTCCCGTTCATCTTTCTGTTTCAGTTGTTTATCTATCTATTTATTTATTTATTTATTATTTTACTACGGGGACAGCTGTAAATTCATCTTTCCATCAACGCTATATTTCTATCACAACGTTTCACTAAGAAGTCTGAAATAGAATTTCGATTCCGGAATAATATAACATTTCATACAGTTGCTCAGCTCGAGCCATATCTGCTTTCAACACAAATGTGCGTAAGAACTAGATTATGGATAAAAAATTAGCCTTCATTTCGATATTTGTAAAAAAATGTCTGTCCAACAGGGGCCTGTTTCTTAAAAAAACTTAAGTAGAAAATCTGACTTAAGTCAAACTTAAGTCCAAAAAAGTCTTTGTCTTTTTTGACTTAAGTCAGATTTTC